GATTCTTGGGTGGCAGTTTTTTTCTTTCAGGGTTTTATATATGTCTCCCCATTGCCTTCTTGCCTGCATGGTTTCTGTTGAGAAATCTGAGCTTAATAAGATTTTGAGTTTTGTTCCACATTTTCTTTTGCTCTGTCTAGGACCTTCTAATGTGATCCTTTTCAGGGCAGTTGGTAGTGGTAGCTAGGCACCATCTAGTTCTTTTGGTCTCAGAGCTGTGAAGACTGATGTTCACGTAGTGCATTAATTCATTAGACTAATTGTTTACAAGCATTTTCAAGTTTCATTATCCTTCTTGGATAGGGAGACAGTTGACCTTAGATGGTTGTTCATGAACTTTTAAGATCCCAGTTCCTACTCACCAAAGTAGGATGTAGAACACAGTCTTTGTGGTCTAGGTTATGCCAGATAACACAGTGGGTTAGTTCTAAGTATCCATCAAGATGAAGAACACTTGTTGAGGTAAATTCCTGTTCTCTTGACCTTCTATTTAAGATATCTTTGCGTATCTTACTAATTTGTTTTCCCCAGAGATTTAGTCTTTGATGCTTGTTTCTTTTCTCTCTACTTTGCTCTTTCTTTCTCCTTTTTCTTCTTTCTCTCTCCCTATCTTATTTTTAAGATAACCATTTCTTATATCTATAGCAAAGGGTTCAAAATATTTCTTTCCCACACTAACTTTTCTCCAAAGCTCCAAACTCATGTTTCTAATTGCTTCTGGATATTTCCATTCTGAAATCATTCTCATTTTTAGTTCAATACATTGGAAATACAATTCATTCATTAAAAAATATTTATTATGTTAGATGGAGACCCTGGGTGATGCAAATGGTTAAATGTTTGGCTATTAACTGAAATGTTGGGCATTTTGACCGCATCCAGATGTACCAGAGAAGTAAAACCTGGCTATCTGCTTCAAGGCAAAGACAGACTAGGAAGAAGGAGAAACAAACTACTTTCAAATATTTAGTCACTGAAGACCTTGTGAATAGTGGAGAAACACTGCCAGATATAGTGCCAGAAAATGAGCCCCTTAGGTTGGAAGGCACTCAAAATGTGACTGGGAAAGAGCTGCCTCCTCAGAATAGAGTTGACTGTGATGATGTGAATGGAGTAAAGCCTATGGGAATAAAGCCCTCAGAAACTTCATATGCTGATGGGGCACAACTCAAAATGAAGAGTAACAGCTGTAAATGTTCATTAATAATCAGAACATTGTATAAATCTAGGAAAATGGGAAATTGTCAAAAATGAAATAGGACACATAAATATTGATATGTTAGGCATTACTAAACTGAAATGGACTGGTATTGGCTATTCTGAGTTTGACAACTGCACATGGTTTGCTATGCCAGGAATGACAAATTGAAGAGGAATGGTGTTGCATTCATCATCAAAAAGAACATATTCAGATCTGTCATGAGGTACAACACTGTCTGTAATAGGATAATATTCATGTGCCTTATAGGGAAGACCAGTTAATACCACTATTCTTCAAATTTATACATCAACCACTAAAGCCAGTGAGGATGAAATAGAAGAATTCTACCAACTTCTTCAATCTGAAATTGATCA